ATCGATTTGAAACTAAAAATAAACATCACCACTCGACTCAGTGTGGCCGATTACCTATCCTAACCCATTTTATGATCATCCAAGGTCAACCGGCTGAAATCGGGGCTCTCGCGACAAAGCGTAGAGCTCCTGAACCGTAAGAGATAGAGACTTAAGACTGGTTTAGAATTATAGACCACTGTTCGGGCTGTCGATTGTACTGTTTGAAAATCAAAATCCATCGCACGGTCCAGGAACAGCGGTCTCATAGACTTTGTATCGAAAGGCTTACCACGGTTAACCTTACCTGGAAGCCTAGTTTTTGCATTCGCTTACGTTCCCCGATGGTGTCTCTATCGAACGGTGAAAACCGCATATCTCTATTACTTTTCGTTCAAATGTGATAAGCATTCTGCCGAGTCGCCTCGTTTTCAGAAAAGGATAATAGGATACCAACTTCATAGGTTAGATTAGGTTAGGATCAGATTGTGAAAATTTTTATAGATTAAGTTATAGATTGCCAATATGTGGCAACCTGCAGAGCACTGGACCAATCGAATCTCTGAAAAGAATCTTTTGCTTAAAATAATGTGATTTTACTTCAACTTTCTTTTCTTGTAAAATAGACATTTTATTGCAATATTTTAGGTCTCTTTTTAATTTCGGTGAAAGCCAAAAAAAAAACAAAAATGAGGAAAATTAGAACGAAGATTTAGAAAAATGACGACAAAAACACACAAAAATAAGCGAAAAACAAAAAAGAGAAGAGAAATATCGTCGATGTCAGAATAATAGAATAAAGTACTGTTTTATTCACAAGTAAAGAAAAAAAAAAATGAAAAAATAAAAACAAAATGCACATGAATGATTAGAAAAGTAGACTTGACGCAATTTATAGAAACGACAGACAGACAGTAAATTTTCCTAAACAAACAAATTGTACATTCTTTTATTATTCAGTTTTGCAGAAATAATAGGCGGTGCATATAAGAATAAGAATAAATCACACACACACAAAATCATCTCACAAAGAGTATAAAAAAGAAAAAGATGAAAGCAAAACAAAGACATATTATACTCTTATATTAAATAAGAATCGGCGATTACCTACCTGTCATAGAATAGACTATTATATTCACAATTTTTCTAGAATAATATTAAAAATAATTCAAATAAATTATATTGGACGACATCATCATACTCTTGTAATCAAAGTACAATGTCTATTTTTTGTATTTTGTGTTCAACACACACATATATATATTTTGTTTTTGTTTTTGTTAATAACACTCAACAAAAAAAAACAAACGATTACTCATTAGAATGTGGTCGATCATAAAAAAAAAAAGAGAGTACATATACAAAACAATGAGTTGTGAGTAACACTCAAAGAGAAATTTTTTGTGTTTTTTTTTTTCATCTATCAACAAATAGATATGTGAAAGAAGAAAATATACAAGTAGTACTATTTACTATTTTCTTGGAGAGACCACAATGCAAGAGGTATCGTAGATAACGAGAGAAAGTAACAAAAAAAAATAAACAAAACAATATATGACCGACAGAGAAAGAGAGAGAGCGCGAGCGAAAGAGAGAGCAGTAAATAAATAAAAATTTTGAACAATAATATTACTGAAAATTACGTTTGTTCATCTTCTTGTTCTTGTTCTGTTTCTGTTTCAGCTTGTGATAACCAATCAAAAAAATCTTTTGTTGATAGAGTTAATACAGAATGACCATTAATTTCAGATTGATCCGGATGATGTTTCCATTCCAAAAAGGCATCTTCACTTACACATTCTTCATCGTAGAAAATATCAAATAAAAGACGAGCCATTTCTACAAAGGAAAAAGAAAAAAAACATTAACATTGAAAATTAATAAAACACAATAACAATAGTACAGTGGGCATATAGGCGGACATTTGGCCAGTCTGTGATTTGAATAGTCTAGAATATGCATCTCGACTAGCGCTAGCGCATGGCATAAAAATTTTTGTTCTGTGATTTTTCGTTTGGGAAATATTCAGTACAGAAAAATCGGTTATCTCAGGAAAACGCTCAGTATAGTTGAGACGCGCAACTTAGCGCGAGTCCGATTTCATTTTTTTTTGCGCCAAAATGTTCAGTAGCATGTCCAGTATCCGTGGTGCATGTGGTTTTGGTTCTAGGCTTTTCCACAGGTTTTTCCAAAAACCCTGATTTCTGGGGTATTTTCCATTTTTCACAGCCGAGAAATACTTTTATTGAAAATTAATGTAATATTCAGAATCCGTATGTAAAATTGCATCGTGTAATGTATAGTTTGTCAATTTTGCAAATAAAATAGTGTTTGACAAAAATTCAAGGCAAGGGTCACCTAAGGAACTTTTTTGTTTTGAACTCGAGTATTTTTACTTTTATTAAAATCTGACGCATAATAACACCATATTAAGCGAAAACAATCATTTGTCAACTTAAAAAAACGAGATGTCCGCCTGCTCTATGGAACAATGCCTACTGTGAATAAACGATCAGTTGAACGACTTCAAATTTTGACATCATCTGAATCATTCCTTTTTTTGAGCAAAACAACAGTACACTTAAAAAAGAATTGTTATATGGTCTGGGTAGAAATGCGGAATAAAAATTCCAAAAATTGTGAATAAAAAAACATTTTCATGGTCTAATCTCATCCTTTTCACGCGCAGAGAGTCAAAAAAATGCTTTCTCTAGCACCTGATTGTAGTTTTACTCAATAAAACACACGTAAACAACAAACAGAAATGTAAATTTTGATTTTAATTGAACACGTTATATTTTTGACTAGAATAAATAAGTTTAAGCCGTTCTGACGTTAATGAAAACTTCAGTGCATGATAACGATAAGTTTAAACAAATTTTTAACTGAGAGAAAATACAACACCCGTAGAAATTGCTTAAAATGAGGACAAATAGCAGACAACGGATAAATTACGGATCATCTGGCAACTGTGTCACATTCAACTCAATTCTATCAGCTTAATTTAACTTAGAACTCTGATAGTTCGTTATAATCTTACTCTTTGACGATAGAAATCTCTTATTCGTTCGAAAATCAACAACAATTTTTCCACCACCGAGCCGTAGATTGATATGCACCAGTTTCAGTTAAAAAGCGGTTAACTGTAACTGTTAAACTGTAAAACGGCTACAGTTAAAACTGATACATTTGATAATCGAAACTGATCATAACTGTCAGAAAAAATTTATACAAGAGATAGAATATTGAAAAAGAAAATGCATGTATTTTTGCTCAAGATAGTGTGTGTTATATTCTTTTATAGGTTTTCTGAATAAACTCTAGTTTTCATCTAGTCACATTACGACTCTTTGAAAATAGTCCCATCGAGCTCAACTTTTTACCACAGATAACGCAGAGCCCATGTTATGTTTCAATTTTTTTTTTTCTTCAAAAAATATGTTTTTTCTGTCAAAAAAATGGTAAAAATCCTATGTAAAAAGTGTGTAAAAGTCAGTCTTTGATTTTAAAAGCCTTCTCAGGCCAAAAGTTCAACTTAAAAACGCTTAAAAGAGATTTAGAATCTGACAGAGTATGAAGTATTTGTGGTAAAAAGTTGAACTTGATGTGACTATTTTTTCAAGGAGTCTTAATGTTACTAGATGAAAACTAGAGTTTATCCAGAAAATCTATAAAAGAACATTGATACAATTAGGTATGCACCAGTTACAGTTTTTTTACCACTTAATTGTACTTGTAAAAACTGCTGATAACTTTAACTGTCGGCAAATATTAATCATCCACGCAATATATTATTCTCAAAATTCCATAATGCGGGCATCAAACTAGACTTAGACACTTTTCTCTTGAAAGGTATTTCCCATAAACAGACATTTCTCTTTGTTTATGACTGTATATGTGTGATTTTATCTCAGATACTAAGTGTCTTTTAGTGCCTACTTGGATTGCTGTATTTTGATATCGAAGCTGATGCATTTCTATCTCATATCTGTACGAATCCATTGGAAGTCGTCTCTCACTTGCGTATAGGGTCATCTGATCACTACAACTACTCTACTCTTCAACATCTTCTATAATATTTCTTGTCTTTAATCCTTTCCTGCTCATCCGTTTCTTTAAGACTCTTTTGCAAACTAATACAATGTAATCCATTGGATCAACATCAACAGCAATTTCGATTTGTATTAAGATTTTTCTTCAGTTTCAAATAAAGTTTATACCAACTCACTCTAGAATATTTGCCTGCAGTTATAACAGTTAACTGTACCTGGTGCATGCCTAGATACAATATCTTGAATACATGGATTTTCTTTTTCAATATTCTACCTCTCATATAAATTTTTTCTAACAGTTATAATCAGTTTCAATTATCAAATGTACCAGTTTTTACAGTTACAGTTAACCGCCACTATTGCATACCTAATCATAGAAATGAATTTTTATCCAGCGAAAAATACTCAAAGATCTCAAAGAATGTCAACACTCTTTTGAATCAATAAAAATGATGTGAAAAAAAGGAATAGATATGATATTTAACTAATCATAAAATATTATACGTACTGGATGGATGTTCTAATTTTGTTATAAAATTTTGTATAGCATAAACGGCTTGTATCTCTTTGTCTTGTTCATGTTGAATAATTGAACTTAAAATGCCCATTCGTTTTTTGGCCACATAGTCATTTATCTTTTTATTATTTGGATCTCGTGTTACTAGACATGCTTCCAAATATGATAATACAATGTTACGAATATAATATTTGTCAGATGAATCCATTTTCTAAATAAATAAATAAATAAAAACATACAAGAAATATGATATACAATTAATTTATAATAGTTTGAATATTCAATTTTTATATTAATCAAGTATCTCTGTTGAAAAACGAATATTTTTGTAAAAATATTCGTTTCTCAACTGAGATAAAATGTTGATAGATACGTTGAATTGTGTAAAAATGTATTACACTTAAGATCTATTAGTCAATAGTTAGATAAGTGTGAAAGAGTGATAAGACATATTTAAAACAAAAAATGATTGTATTCGAAAAGAAACTCACAATTTAGACATAAGCATCGAGGATGGGGTCGGGAGTAGAGCTGTCTATTTACTTATTACTCGCTGTTACTTTAACCAAGTAAAGTAACAAGAATTTATTACTTGCTACTAGTAATTAGTAATAACAGATGCTAGTTTGTTACTTTGTTACTAATAACAAGTAACAACTGCGTCATTAATTACTAGAAACAGGTAACAAAAATGATTACTTGTTACTATAGTAAAGTAATGGTAAACAGATAGCCCTAGTCGAGATATTCAGATTCACCACTATTTTTTACCTATACTCCACTAGATTTCATTAAAAAAACCATTGGTCAGTTACATATGTTCCCTCGTTAGTTGAAGTTCATATTTTATAAAATATTTCTTAGTTGAGATGTTACATTTACAATGTGTAACAAAATTCATCATACATCTCCCATACAAATTTAAGATCAATATTAAACCATCTATAAAGTTCGGAATTTCTCTAAAATGTTGCAAATTTATTGTTATTTATTTGCTTAAAATAGAAAGATATAGTCATTATGTTAGGCGAGGAAGAGTGAAATGGACAGTCAAATAAAATTGATCATACAGTTGAATTTTTTTTCATTGTTGACATGGTAGACTTTAGCTTTAATTTGACAAAAGGCATGTATGTTGTGCAGTTTTTCTCGCTCTTTTGTCTCATATGTACTTCAGAATTTTAAGTCAGAGAGTGAAGACAAAGGAAACGAAATACACAACAGTCATTTTTTTTTCTAATACTTTTCGTACAAAAAATTCATATTTTCATGAGAAAAGTTTTTTGTTTGTTTTCCAAATCGTGTTCATTCGATTTTTCACACAAAACTGCAAAAATGATTAAATTTTTCAACCTTAAAAACATTTCCTCCTGAAAATATGAATTTTTTGTACAAGAAGCATAACAAAAAAAAATGACTGTTGTGTATTTCGTTTCCGTTTTCTCCACTATTTGACTTAAAATTCTGAAATACATAGGAGACAAAAGAGCGAGGAAAAACTGTACAACATACGCTCATTTTGTCACATTAAAGCTAAAGTCTACCATGTCAAAAATGAAAAAAAATTCAACTGTATGATCAATTTTGTTTGACTGTCCATTTCACTCTTCCTCGCCTAACATAATGAGCAAATAAACTATAATAAATTTGCAACATTTTAGAGAAGTTTAATATTAATCATATATTTGTATGAGGGATGTATGATCAATTTTGTATATACAAAACCTACATCATAAATATATCGAATTATTTCTTGATCTGGTACATTTGTAGCAACTTGTTGATCACTGACGCATCGAAATAATTTAACAAGATGAGGATCAGAATGAGGATTATCTATTGTGATTGTAGAAGATTGTTGTTGTTCTAAGGACGACATTGTCAATGTGGTATCATGTGTGGATGATAATGAAGATGACGGTGTGGAAGATTGTGTTGTTACTGAATTTAATAACCAATCATAATCGACTAATAGTTGTTCATTGATTATATGTGGTTTTAGTAAATCATTAAATGTTAATCCAGATAATTGCCACAGAGAAATAAATTTCGATTTAGACTAAAATTATAGAAAAAAAAATATCACATAAAATAATTTATATATAACAAGTAGAATCAGCGTAAACTTATCTGACAGTTAACAATACAAGAAGACAACAAAGATCTATTATTGACGAGGAAACCTTCCCAAGTGTCCAATCTGGAGAGATTGAGACAATTGAACACTATATACTACATTGTCCTTCTAATCAAAATGAGCGGAATATATTATTTCAGCCTGTCCACGTAACGGTCGTCTTTTCGTGATTCCGTCACGATTTTTGTTGTTTTCTCGTGGTGCTCGAACAAAAGGAAACTCAAGGACTGTTTACATCTAATCTTGTAGAGAAAAGTGAGCTGAACAAAATATGATATTTTCTGTCTCCGCAGAGGGTCGTGGTTCTCAAATGTAACAAAAGTTTTACGGCCTCGTTTTGGCGGACTTTTGATTGGGGCTCGTAAAAATTTTGTTGTAATTGACGAACACGATATTCTCCGAAAACGAAAAATATCACATATTGTTCAGCTCACTTTTCTCTACAAGACTAGATGTAAACAATTCCTTCGTTTCCTTTTGTTCGAACGCCAAGAGACTCGCAAAACAACAAAAATCGTGACGGAATCACGCGTTACGTGGACAGGCCGATTTAGTTAAACAGGCACTTTTTTTGCCAAATACCGGGAGGTGGGGAGGTGGCATATGAGTGCGTCTCATTTGAGTACGTGTTTTTT